CTCGAGTACACATGTAAGAGCAGTTACGTACGACAAGGGATCGTCGTCGTCCAACTTTCCATGCGCGAGCATGTCCTTGTATACCACTACTGCAGGTCCGAGCGCTCCCAGGTGTTAGTTGACTTCCTGCAACGGAAAGCGGTAACTTTCACCAGCGTCGACACCAGGAACGACAAGACCATGCTTGCCCGTGCATGCATCAGAATTCCAGACGAGCACCACGTCGACATCCAGAGGCTATTCTGCATCAAGGGTGGTGGAGAAAGGGACTCCATGGCTGACCTTGCAGCGGCCATCATCGACCCCTCATACAAGAACATGAAGAAATCATTCCCAAAGGAGAAGCACCAGTTCTGGGAGTGGAAGACGCTTTCCCCGATACACCTTGAGTACGCGGCAAAGGACGGGTATGTTAGCTCTGAGTTGTACCATAGAATCCTAATCATCAAGAATGGGCTACGTCACCTCCACCAACAACCAGTGAAAGAAAGACTCCGCCCATGTAAGAACAAAGACGAGGGATCTTCCAGCGGATGGAAGCGCCGGAAGGGAAGCAGCGGTTGGTAAATTGCGAGAAAATGGATCGTGCCGTGATTGATGTATCTGCCGTGATCAAGTGATCAGGTGCGTGGCACAACTATTATGATAATTTAGGTTGAACGAACCCATGTTGTAAATATGTTTGTTCTTGCTCAAAGATGATGTTTGTATTGTATTACTATTTTACGTCTGAACTTTGAACACAGTGGTGTGCGTGTCTAAATGTAATTAGTAAGTTATGTCTCAGTATTGAGCAAGCATATATTGTATCCATGACTATAGAACGAGAGATATGTCGCACGACATTGTATTATAATTTTCATACTCAACCTTTACAAGATGCATCATGCATTTACAAGAATATGTGATGGTATCGTTGCAAACTTTTAGTAGAATGCTTATTCAACATTAGCATAAACAATTCATAAATATTGCAGAAGAACATTCGGTACACAGACGCAAGGGACAAGAACTTTGTTACTTTGACCACACCATCCATTCACAGGTTCCTCTCCGTACACCAGTCCTCCATGATGCCACAAAACTACACTACCGTGTACAACTGACCCATGTACAACCATGCCTCTCTAAGTGTAAACTCAACCCATGCCTCTGGTGCCACGCACCCATGACCTTAGAGACTTCACACCTGTGCATCCACAACCGAGCCTCTCTAACCAAATATTCGAACTGATGCCTCTGCTGACATACATCCATGCCTCAAGACACTTGACAGCAGCAAGAGGGTTCAAAACCGTGCATCCACACAACCGTGCTTGTACTGACTGCACTTCGGTGCCTCCGTTTGCTCGATCGACGTGCATCACATGAAACCCACAGTAACTCTACGTGCTCCGAGCGACTGATCGCCCGTGCCTCCACACAACCGTGCATGTACTAACTTTAATTATGTGCCTCCATTTCCTCAATCCACGTGCCTCACATGAAACCCACTGTAACTCTACGTGCTACACACACGTGCCTCTCGCATGAAACCCACAGTATCTCTGCGTGTTAGGCACCCGTCATTGCCCTTGTAACTTTGGTATTGCACACACGTTCCTCTCAGTATACCCGTGTTCCAAACAATTATGCATGTACTGACTGCAATTCCATGCCTCTGTTTGCTGAAACCACGTGCCTCACATGAAACCCATGGTAACTCTACGTGCCTCCACACAACCGTGCCTGTTCTGACTTCAATTCCATGCCTCAGTTTGCTGAATCCAGGTGCCTCTCACATAAAAGAGATGCACAGCCATGCCTCAGAGTAAACAACACACGTGCCTCTACTGTATTTATAACTTTGACCACAATTAAATAACATCCGTCCAAAAAAACATCATTAAAAGAGATGCACAACCAAGCCTCTTATACATCAAAATCCATTATGTTCAAAGGCTATAACTAACATCACTGCGGCAGAAGATTGAAGATAACAACAAGCCTCCCAACAAGCTGTTTGAAAGTTATCAGCACCCAGCTGTTTACTTCAATAGACGATGCCTGAAGAAAATCACTGAAACCGTCATGTTTGAACACCATTTATTACCCAAACCAATGAAGTAGGAGCAAGGAGTGCTCGCATTTATATCATCATCGCCAGATTCCGGAGTAACTTCAAGAGTTAAAACGCCAGTTCTAGGAAAAGTCACAAACTCCTTCAAACTCCTCATAACAATACCAGGAATAACCTGACAAAAAACATCAAGCTATCAGAAATAGAATAAAAATTCAAAACTATAAATAGAAGAAGTAATAAAAATAAATAAATAAACAGAAACAAAAAAAACAATGGGAAAAAATCTGACCATATGATGACCATTAACATTCATGGAATCAATCCTGTGAACAAAAGGACAACAGGGTATGTAGTCATCATCAAATAGTTGACACCTCATGAAATACATCTGCTGATAATTAAGAAAAACACCACGGGTGTAATAACAACTCCCAACAAGCTCCTTCTCGGAGTCGCTCAAACCATGTAGAGCTACAAAATATAATTACACAGGCTCAAGAGAACAAAAAAATCAAAATGTACAATAAAACAAGATAAAAACATCCTTAAAAATAAACCTTACCAACAGACGGTAAAGGAGACAACGCATCTCCACGACCAACACGATAAAAATCAATACCAATCCAAGTTCCATAATGTTCAAGCCTAATGGTCATTATATCACGAGGACGAACACCATAATCACTGACCAATCGTTCCCAGGAAGGACCATGGAATTTGCTTCTCACACGACCATGACTAAACAGAACACCATACAAATAACCCTCATTGCACTGAAGAGCCAGATCAGTATCTTCGTCACCCCTCCTTATGGCTAAAGCCCTACACTCCTCGATGTAACGAGCAAGATGAGCTCTAACACTGCATGAAACATACTGCACAACAAATCAAAACAAGGATCATAATCAAAATCTAAACAGCATGGGCAGCACCAAAAAAAATAAGCGTGTGTGCCAAAAATTGAACAACTATAAAATGATTTTCTTACAACACGCCTCCAACAATGCCGATCCAGGACCACACTGAACCCATCTACAGAAGAATCAACAGAAGAACACGGGCCACCAGGCATACGGCAAAAAGGACAAGCCATAACTGCAAGGAACACAATGGTTATCAACAACTAATCCCACAAAACCCAGTTAAAACTTGACATCTGATAGTGTTGGTAGTCCCCACCCGTAACTACCCCATAAATCTCCATATCCCGGTAATATAATGGGAACAAAAAGAGAAACGAGAAAGGGAAACAGGGAACCCACGAAGGCAACCAGTAGGGAACGACGATATCGAACGGGAAAGCTCGCTCGATGCTAAAGAAGGACTACCGTAAGAGCAGGCAACAAGCGCGGTGGCTGGAACAACTGCCACCGTAACCACGCGACAAGAGCAGCTGCGGCGACGGGCGGAGACGACGGCAAAGAACGAACAATGCGCGACGAGGGTTCGCCCACAATAGAAAGAAACAAGAAACAGATCTCAAAACAGATCAAAAGGTATTACAAAACATTAAAAGTATAAGGACTAAAGTGAAAAAAGGAAAAACCATAAGGAAAAACCGGAAACAGGAAATCACGCGAGAAGCCGTGCGTGCGCCAAGTGTCACACGCGGAGCGCATCCGAAAAGTCTCGGGAGCGCTCCGCGCGTGACACTTGGCGCACGCGGAGCGCTCCCCGACTAATCGTTGCGGGGAGCGCTCCTCAATTAGTGATTTCACGGTGCTGAGGGCGCAGGTGTAGATGCTCTAAGATCATTAAGTTGGATGGGCTGAGGCAGTCCCACTTAAGCCCACCCCCGCCTGCAGCCTGACCGGCGTGGTGACTCTATCCTCCCGTGCAGAGGAAGGGTTTCTATTAATTGCTCATCTAATTTCTCCGCCCTACCCAGATCGTCCGTGTCTTCCAGTCCAGAACCGCCGCCGCCGGGAACAGAGCACCGTCGCGACGCCGCCGGAAAATTGCCGCCAGAGCCCGCTCCAGTTTAAATCCTATCGGCTCTTTCCGTCCATTCTCTCCTTTGGTTTAAGCCGGTAGATCCGTATATATATATATATATATATATATATATAGATCGCCGGAGCAGTTGTTTCTTCTTGCGCCAAATCCGTCGCCCCATCTGCGTTCTTCTCCGTAATCACTGGAGCTTTTCTTTGGTTTCCCACCGCACCTTCTACTGCTGGGCTTTGAGCTCATAAGGATGTTGCTTTTTATATTTAGCGAATTTTCCGTCTTAGGTTTGTGTAGATTTTACAATTAAAATGGTTATAATACTATCTTTTACATTTTAGATACGTGTAAATGATACCTAACAATAGATTTTTCATAGCGTCAAGGGGCGCAACAATTTGTTAGTGCAAAGATATGGGGAACCAGCACCGACGATCTTTGTCATAGAGGAACATAACACCAAAATATCACCCGGAGTGATTTCTTAGCAGACCCCTTTTCTTCTTTTTCGAGCGCTGTACTAATGTTTGATTCTTCTTGGCTTTTCCTGTCAGCGAGCAATCAGCATGCCGGGCAGCAGCGGCGTGACGCCTTCGACGACCTGCCTGAGTGGCTCGTCCTCAACGAGATCCTTGTCCGCTTGCCGCCCAAGGACGTACTCCGCTGCCGTGCCATTCGCAAGTCGTGGCGCAGCGGCACATCCACTCACGCGTTCATCCTCGGACACCGCCGTCACCAGCCCTCGCTCCCCATCATCCAACACAAATTGGGCATATGCCGCGTCTTCAGAGGCTCCAATGATCTAAAGATACGGCCTGTCATTTGCCTGATTTACAACGCATTTCAGTTGCCTGATTACTTTATCCTCGCGGTGGGATCGAGCCAGCCAAGATGCATCCAATGGCCGACAGTTTCGAAACAAAAGTATCTTCCAGCTACCCCGTCTGCCGACTGTCCGCCAGTCCATCATCGTGGTAGCCTGCACTGGCTAATGGGCCTCAACATAATAGTATTTGACACCGTAGCCGAGACATTCCGGCAGATGAGCCGCCCAACACAGTTGGGTGATATGGTGTCATTGTTGGATATGGGCGACGCCCTTGCTTTGTGCCACACCGCCCCTGACTGCGCCGCATTAGATGTTTGGGTGTTGCAGGACTATGATGCCGGGACCTGGGGTTTTTGCTTTCGGATTGACCTGTTAGGGATGGAGGCATCACCACCGGTTAATTGGATGTTCCAATTTATCCCTAGGATAGCTCTGATCAATGAGCGTGAGCTGTTGATCCAGCGGCATATTTACAGTCTGTTGCATTGTGACATTGATGGTGTCTTTTTAGGTAATGTGGAAAGCGAGGAGCGTTTAGCCTGCTGGACACTTACTCGGCATTGCCTCCAAGAGAGCCTGATTTCACTTCCATTGTTTGAGATGCAAGAAGAAGAAGCTGTGAACCAGGAGCCTCCATTATTCTCCATTGTGTTATAAAGATGCCGCGCTGGCATGCTCCATGTTAATGCTTTGGACTAGTTGTTTGCTGTGCCCTTAGAGTATCTGTTCCATATGGGCCATGCTTGTATTCTTACCATTCAGTACTTGAATGTTGTAACTTCTAAACAATGAGAGTATATCTATAGAATCGTTCTACTGTTCTCCCCTCCCCTGTTTACTTTTAGCTTGCAATGTTAAAAACAACGAATGGCGTGGTTGCAGTTTGGAATGGCCGATTCCTCAATGAGATGTTATGGCATTTTTGTTGTTGAAATGGATACTATAGATATTCCTTTCTGTAGCTAAATATTTTGATGTTTCATGTTCAGTGCACACATTGGTCCTATTGCTTTTGGCATCTGGTCGCGTGACTCTTTGTGTAGAGATGTCTTTTTTCAGGTATATTTGAGAAGCTGGCTGTGATTTTGTGCTCACCATGGTTTTGTCTCTGATTGTTAGTTTGTTACACTACATCAGCAAGTAATTTGATCACTACTACTGTTTTGTGTCTGATGTTGCTGTTTCAATACAACTATTGTTAAAAAGAAACCGGCAAGTACTTTCTTTCATTGACTAACCATTCGGAGAAAGGAGCTTTGCTGTTGCTTTTGTGTCCAGGATTTCCTTTCTTTTGGAAGGAATAATTTACAAGATGTGGTATCTTAATCATCATCTTGTAGTGATGTAGTCTGCTGGAAGGCTGGTGATAGTGGTGCCTTGAGGACCCGTGTTGCAGGTAAAAATGTCCATTCGGGCTACCAAACGCAACAAAGCTGCATCTGCGCTCATGCTGTGTGGACCCATCAATGGTTTTGTGTTTGATTGTTAATCCAGTATACATGCATTGTCAAAAAAAAAAATTGCTACGAACTACTCCCTCTGTTCCTAAATATTTGTCTCTTTAAAGATTTTAAATGGACTACCACATACAGATGTATATAGACATATCTTAGGGTGTAAATTCACTCATTTTGCTCCGTATGTAGTCACTTGTTGAGTTCTCTAGAAAGACAAATATTTAGGAACGGAGGGAGTATTATTAGTTGACTTTCACCTGTTGGGAGAAAAGGCTTGGTACTTTGGTGATATCCTGGAAGCTTTCCAGGGGTCTTTTCTTTCCTGCTTGCTGCTTTTGGGTCTAGGGTTTGGTGCTATCTTGATCAGCATGTTATGGTTTGCTGGAAGGCGCTGCTGCTAGGTTGTTTTGGTTTGAAGCTTGTGTATTGGTTCCATTTTCATCGGAATGGAACCAACATCAATTTCAGCAATTCCCTCAACAGAAAAACATCAATTTTAGTGATGTTCAGTGACATTTGGTGAAGCATATATAAAGATGAACTGATGAACATCGATCAGTCATTCAGAAATGTATGATGGTGCATGGTGGTGTATCTGCAGTTTCTTTCTCCGGATTGAACAATTAGCACTGGAGAATTACTAAGTGTCCAAGATAATGATAAGTTTTATCTCTGATATTTTTGTTATCCTCTCACGTCCTTTAGCGAGACGTGAATATGTGCTGTACATTACTAATGTTTGCCTTTTCTTTTCTACTTATCTGCATGCCGAACAGCAGCGGCGCGACTATGTTCGACGACCTACCTGAGTGGCCCGTTCTTGGCAAGATCTTCATCTGGCTGCCTTCTAGAAACGTACTCCGCTGCCACGTCGTCTGCAAGTCGTGGCTCATCGCTATTTCCACAGACGTGTTCATCCTCGACCACAATCGCTACAGGAATTGGATTGTTTACACTATTTAAACATGAGAAAAAAAATGCGCTCTCATGTTGTATGCTCTTTCTTTACACTAGAGGAATTGGATTGTTTACACTATTCAGACATGCAAAAAAGAAAAAAAGAAATGGAGAAGTGGGGTATCGATCCCCATACCTCTCGCAGTTAGGCAGTTCACAGGTAGGGAGATGTGCAAAAAAACAAAATAAAAATAAAAATGGAGAAGTGGGGTATTCAGTCAGATCTGCAAAAACAAAAAATTAAAATAAAGAAAAAACCTGGAGAAGTGGGGTATCGATCCCATACCTCTCGCATGCTAAGCGAGCGCTCTACCATCTGAGCTACATCCCCTTTTATGGTGTTGTCAGTAATGTATGATCTCATGTAAGCAATATAAGGTCAATGCAAGAACCATGTTACCCACAGCAAGTGCCAAACTGGAAATGGAAACCCATTTTTCGTACAAGGCACATTTACGATTATATGACAATTGGCCGTTTGGGCCGCTATAAAAGCCTACGGTGATTATTACCTGATTTTAAAGCCTTCAATAGTATATATGCTGCGAGGAAGATAAGAGACAAGTAAGGCCAAATGTGTTCTTTATTGAATTATACAAGGCCAACGCGGTCCGTAAGGGGAGACGCCAGTGAATAGTTGCGTCCTTTGCCAGGTTCTACCTACTCTTGAAGGTCCCATGGAAATATAGATTAATCATAACTAAAATGGGCTAATCCACCCTCCTAACAACATGTAAACATCATGAAACCGTCCCGACCTTTGTGTTTAGTTCAAATATACTTAAAAATGGAAAATACAAAATGTTCACCTTGATCGTAGTCAAATTCTATTAAGCAAACTAGAGTACAAACACACCTGAGAAATAAAGAAACTACGTCGAAGTCCCCATGGGCTAACCATCTTAATCCTCTTGAACAAGACAACACGCAGCGGCATGCCGCTCCAATGCTAGAGCTAGCCAGCGTATCAATGTTGACCGCGGATAGGAAGTCATGAAGACCACCGTAATGACATCCAGTGCCCCAGAGAAGAAGGTATCACTGTCTGAAGAGCTGCAGATCCAAGGGCCTAACCTCCACTAGTTCTCACAGGTCTCATGGGAACCCCGAAGGCCTCAGTGAAGTGATGTGGATGAGGTGGGAGGACGAAACTGCAAAGGGGAACCGCCACATGAACACACCATGAAAATCGTAATCTCACCAGGCATAAGGCCGCATTGATATGGCGACGAGGTGAAAGGGTCAAAGGGAAGTCACAATGCCAACAGACCCTGGAAACCATAACCCCAACAGGTAAAAGGTCCAACATGAAAAAAAAACCGACATCGAGACGTCGATAACACCATCGAGATGGGAAGGATCCAAGAGACCTTATTCGCCAGATCGGAAAAAACTTACAACGATTTATCTATTGTGTGTGGGGTGGAACGTGATGACACCTTTCATGCGCTTTGCATACGCCCTTAGTGTCTATCTGTGGCAGAAGAATGGACCCCGACTTTGAATTAACGAAGTCATCAACCCATCAAGAATTCCATCGGGGCACATAACTAACAAGAGAAAAAAGTATATATGATAGATACAAGGTGCTTACAAACATTCCAGAGATTACTACAATACAAGCATACTAAGATAGAACAGAAACACTCCAAAATGAAAGCACTTGACCCTATGGCTATCTGTTTATGCCGCTGAAGATGACTCCCTCCTCTTGTCCCGGCTCGAAGGATGCCACGTCGTTGACATAGACAGAGGTTTACACTGGAAACTAAAGAAGCCATATGCTGCCAGGAAGTACGGGAGGGTCCAGCAAAACATCCTTTGCAAATCAAGAACTCCACACTAGATAGATCTCTCCCACAGCCACATGAGAGACTCAAATTGCCGAATGGAGATGATGCAAACCTGAGAAGACACAATGCTAGTAGAACGGTAACCAAGAGGACATGAACCAGCCTTAATGGAACACTAAGCTACCAACATCCTTGACACGACACTATGTCGTAGAGGGGAAACCTCTCCCCTCTTACCTAAGCTCGAAGGCGACGACCTTCCAACGAACAGGGCCGCAAGAAGGGAACACCAGATAGCAAAGCACATCAATTCCACCACGTAGCTGGTTTGATCATGACAATAGACAACCTACAACATCAACCTATGAAATCGCACGAACTCAAACACTAACTCCTATGTTCCACATACGAAGACTCCAAGGAGGGGAACAACGCTAGAGCGTTCTCGTCGTCCAATGTACAACCAAGATTTTCACCAAAGGAGCGGGAATGCAAGGTGGGGACTAGTACCTTACAACATCTTCAAGAGGAGAAGTGACGCCTGTAGCACCGTCATCATTGTGGTTGTAATTGACGGTCAAAATATTCCACCCACCGTGATCCCAAGATCTTCCTCTGACCACTATCTTTAACCGACAAGCGTCCAAAGTCCAAATCGGAAGGACGATAAGGCTGGTCACAGTGGGGAGGAACTTAGGAGTAACATCACACACTTCAATACAACTTTGCTTATGTGGCACGTATTTAATGAAGAGAGAGGTGCTTGTGGTAACTAGCTAAGTTACCGGAACATCACACACTCCAAGAAACAATGAGTCTATAACCTAATAAATACATCGTTGCATGACACTACATAGATGTTCCTACCCACTATGAAGGTAGTAACATAGTCTAGGAAAGTGTGAAGTTACTAGCTTATGTTCTTGCCCATTGTGACCAGCCTAAGATAACACACAAATTGTGACTGGCCACTTTCGGGAAGGTGCCTAGCCAACGGAGAACCAGAGCACCACACCTCCAATCACCGGCTTCTCGCTGACCACACAGACCGAAAGAGCCGATTGAAACACCGGCAGCAAACCCCATCTCAAGGACGTTGCTGTCGTCAGCACCTGGGGCCGCCGCCTCGACTTCTGAGCTCCCCCAACACTCCCGCATGACTAAAGAAAGAAAGATGGCTCCTTCTCAACTGCGAAACCCAATTACCGCTGGTCGACAACCATGAGTAAGAGCCTTGATGCCAGCTGAGGATCGACAGATGCCAAGATGGCAAAACAAGGGGGAGGCGGAGGACACCACCACCCCCACGTTGTCCTTCAGGGCAGAACTCCCCACATGAGTTTCCCTGGCCAAATCCACATGTGAAGCCACCATGAGCGTCACCATCTCTAGGACGGTCAGATCTGAGCCAATGAACTTTCCCCACCGCCGGACCTGGGTGTGCCGTCCA